GCATCATTACATTAAATATAATTATCATTTGCAGTTATCATCCAGATAGTGAAGTATAAATAAATGAATTGATAGGAAATATATAGGGCTTGCATGCCTTAATCAAATTATGAGTAGAATGTTCGTTTGTCAATGTTGTTCTTAATAAAAGTATACCATGGGCTAAGCTTTTAGGAAAGCCATGTATATTATACATACACATGTCGAAAAAGAATGGTGGTAAAATGGATCGAAGCACCATGTTCGGAAGGTAACCTGTTCTCCATGTATGTTTGGGAAGACTTTCCTTTAAGAGATATTACTTTATAGAGTAACCATCTAGGAGGTGAAATGAATTACACACTGTCTTTTATTATTACAATTATAACAATACCCGTTACTGGGTCATTGTGATAGAATTGTTTTTTTTCACAGACCACATAGGAAAAGACTGGCTATGCTCATCTGTATCGGTATTTATACACGAATCTACGCATATCGACGCAATTTCATCACGGGTCATTTGTCAGTGATGTAATTACTTCCCTAATCATTCGCCCGCACCTACACACATACATTGCATTGGACATAGTCCCTGGGGGCATAGGGAAACGGAATTCTGTTAGCAATGATTCTTAAAAGGTGTTGCAAATTGGTGCTGAATTAGATAATATACTTGTAATTAGTCAGTTCCGGGTGTGGACCGAATACAGGTGTATATAAGCGTCTTGTTTTCAAGCACTAGCTATCACTGCTGTCGCCTCTCTTCACGTTTAGATCCAGTCTAATCAACACACTCTGTGAGTATCAGTTGTTTTGTGTTTTACGGGGTATTCAGCCTGTCCCTGTTAACGCTGTATTTTACGTTGCCGTTTTATGAGTGTTAGTCAGTAGTTGTTGCTGTAATGCTATTTCAAACTTTTACTGATTACTATTTGTAATATTGATTGAATCCTCCAAATGTGTTTTTAGTTTTCAAATCAGATAAAGTTCTACTTAAAGCAACAAAATAAAAAAGTGTAGAATAGCGACCACAAGTTGGTACAGAAACGGATTTTCTTACAGACTTGAATAATGAATGAGAAACTCCTTTTCAGCCTTACAAAATGATGAAAGTTATCGCCCTTGTTGCCTGTCTGGCTGTCGCTGCCTTTGCTGAGCCTGTGAGCTATGGTCTGCACGGAGGCTTCGGAAAGGGTGGTCTGTACGGAGGCTACGGAATGGGTGGTCTGTACGGAGGCTTCGGAATGGGAGGTCTGTACGGAGGTTACGGTTTGGGAGGACTGTACGGAGGCTACGGAATGGGTGGTCTATACGGAGGCTACGGAATGGGTGGTCTATACGGAGGCCACGGACTAGGAGGACTGTACGGAGGAATCGGAGGTTTCGGAAAAGGTAAATGCAAATACAATCATGCCGAGAATATTATTGACCCTCACATATACCTAATACTTTGACAGATTATAAGTAAGCTAATTACACCAAACTTATTTTGCACCTTCATTGGACACATGCAGCATAACTAACCTATCGATATATTGAATATAGAAATTATTACGAGACGTAGAAATGACTTTGTACGGAAAATATTCTTAAACAAAAACCTCTTCTTTTTGTTGCAGGTATTGGATATGGCTACTACTAAGGTTGTCGCTCCAGTGTCACAATTCATCTGCATCATCAATATGTACATTATTTATTGTATCCGGTTTGAAATATGTCACATAAAACACAATCATTGAAACAATGTCTTACGTTTTTTATTCATAGTAGTGTTGGGGCTATGTTACAAAAGGAAAAAAATGTTATTAAGAGAGTTGTATCGGAACAGTGAGATATAAATCATCAAAATGAAAGAGAAACGCGTATACTAGTTTACTGGCATGATCGAATGAGTGGGTGAATGAGAGAGTGTTGTTTAACGCTACAGTCAGCCTTTGTCAAATTACACCATGGCAGAGGCACAAAACCATGCGGCACGGTGACGCACAATCAGTCAGGTCACACACAATAAACATCTGGTCGCCTTCATAAGTCAGCTCTTACGACAAGCATGTGGCACCGAGCACCTGTTATTGACAGAAATAGCGAAGGATTCTAAAAAAGTGTCATTCATTCGCACGTGAAAGTTGTTTGTATGCAATATGGAGGTTCAGATATGTATATTCCTCAATGACATTGATCAACTTTACAGTGTTGACTTTCGTCCCTGCAGCCCGGATCCGTGAGCATCCGGTTTAGAATATAGGTCTTCAGCAACCCATGCTTGCTGTAAGAGGCGACTAACGGGATCGGGTGGTCAGGCTTGCTGACTTGGTTGATGCATGTTATTGTATCCCGATTGCATAGATCGATGCTCATAGTGTCAATCACTGGATTGTCTGGTCCAGACTGGAATATTTACAGACCGCCGTAATTTAGCTGAAATATTGTCGAGTGCGGCGTTAAACAAACACACAAAGAAACAAACAAACAAAGCGACAAGCACGTAGTCTGGAAAACAACAAGAACAGAAGTTGGCAATTAATGTTCCATAACAAAGTCACATATTCATATATAATAGCCACCTGATCGTGTGCCTTCGGTAACACACAAACAAATGTTTACCATTAGTCTTCTGTAGTATCCAACACTCTCTGTCCATGATGAAATTTACAAAAATGCAAATGTCGGCATTCTTTATACGTGAGAAGCACCTAAACCTATATGCCATCTGTAAAAGTAAGGATTATTATTAAGCTTTCTTGGGAAAGTAGTAAACGACTCGACAGGTTTTTGGTAATGGCAAGAATGGACAGTCACAAGGTTTGAAATGTGCCCCCATACAGTCGTACCATTCCGTGGCTGCATAGTCAAGCCATTCCGTAGCTTTAGTTACCATCCTACATTTATCCCTTTCCCGTATGCTCTTTACATACAACTGGACCGCCTCCGTGGTCTAATGGTAGAGCGTCCGCCCGGAGAGCGGAAGGTCCGGGGTTCGATCCCCAGCCGCGTCATACCAAAAGACGTTAAAAGATGATACTTGTTGTTACCCTGTCTGGCGCTCGGCATTAAGGGGCTAAAACAAGGACTGGTCGGCTCGGAGTCAATATACTCCGTCTGAGTCGGGTATTCATGTTAAACTGCGGCATGGTATCTCAGTGGGCTAGCACTATAAATCGGCATCAGTCCGGACTAGTACAAGCAGCCACACACACACATACACGTGCATGCACGTCGCTATATAAGTGCAATAATCTTGGACGCGACGTTAAACCCCATATCACCTCACCTCACCTTACATACAACTCCTTGATTAGCCATACTCCCCACTGCACATTCCTCTTTTTCAGTATTAATGATATAGGAAGACCCTTTCAGAGCTCCGATGTTGTTACATTGTAATCAATGATATATTTCTTTCTATGAAATGCAGGTTCCATTTGTAGATCACACTACATATGAAATACATTGAGATCTGTTCTTTAACAGGAACTGTTTCAACAGGTTTTTTAACCGTGTTACTAGAGGCGTGCGTGAAGAGTCACTGCTGAAATGTGAACATTAAATCTGCACTGACTTTTCTTCATGACCGTAACATGGAGCATCATTACATTAAATATAATTATCATTTGCAGTTATCATCCAGATAGTGAAGTATAAATAAATGAAGTGATAGGAAATATATAGGGCTTGCATGCCTTAATCAAATTATGAGTAGAATGTGCGTTTGTCAATATTGTTCTTAATAAAAGTATACCATGGGCTATGCAAAAGAATATGGTGACACCTTGTCGTTCAAGAGTTTCAAGAATGTTTTAGCAGAGGGCGTACATATATACAGAGAGAGAGATAGAGAGAGAGAGAGAGAGAGAGAGAGAAAGAAAGAGAGAGAGAGAGAGAGAGAGAGAGAGAGAGAGAGAGAGAGATAGAGAGAGAGAGAGAGAGAATAAGTCTGTGTTTTGAATTAAGTAATTTATGATTAGGAGCAGATACGATGTAAGTCAGCGAATCCTTATTTAAATGTCAGAGGTGAGACGAATATCAAATATAAGGATCCACAGCGCAGCAACAACGACCCATCCCAAACCGATGCCTAGAAATGGGGAAAGTTATAAGCTTTTAGGAAAGCCATGTATATTATACATACACATGTCGAAAAAGAATGGTGGTAAAATGGATCGAAGCACCATGTTCGGAAGGTAACCTGTTCTCCATGTATGTTTGGGAAGACTTTCCTTTAAGAGATATTACTTTATAGAGTAACCATCTAGGAGGTGAAATGAATTACACACTGTCTTTTATTATTACAATTATAACAATACCCGTTACTGGGTCATTGTGATAGAATTGGTTTTTTTCACAGACCACATAGGAAAAGACTGGCTATGCTCATCTGTATCGGTATTTATACACGAATCTACGCATATCGACGCAATTTCATCACGGGTCATTTGTCAGTGATGTAATTACTTCCCTAATCATTCGCCCGCACCTACACACATACATTGCATTGGACATAGTCCCTGGGGGCATAGGGAAACGGAATTCTGTTAGCAATGATTCTTAAAAGGTGTTGCAAATTGGTGCTGAATTAGATAATATACTTGTAATTAGTCAGTTCCGGGTGTGGACCGAATACAGGTGTATATAAGCGTCTTGTTTTCAAGCACTAGCTATCACTGCTGTCGCCTCTCTTCACGTTTAGATCCAGTCTAATCAACACACTCTGTGAGTATCAGTTGTTTTGTGTTTTACGGGGTATTCAGCCTGTCCCTGTTAACGCTGTATTTTACGTTGCCGTTTTATGAGTGTTAGTCAGTAGTTGTTGCTGTAATGCTATTTCAAACTTTTACTGATTACTATTTGTAATATTGATTGAATCCTCCAAATGTGTTTTTAGTTTTCAAATCAGATAAAGTTCTACTTAAAGCAACAAAATAAAAAAGTGTAGAATAGCGACCACAAGTTGGTACAGAAACGGATTTTCTTACAGACTTGAATAATGAATGAGAAACTCCTTTTCAGCCTTACAAAATGATGAAAGTTATCGCCCTTGTTGCCTGTCTGGCTGTCGCTGCCTTTGCTGAGCCTGTGAGCTATGGTCTGCACGGAGGCTTCGGAAAGGGTGGTCTGTACGGAGGCTACGGAATGGGTGGTCTGTACGGAGGCTTCGGAATGGGAGGTCTGTACGGAGGTTACGGTTTGGGAGGACTGTACGGAGGCTACGGAATGGGTGGTCTATACGGAGGCTACGGAATGGGTGGTCTATACGGAGGCCACGGACTAGGAGGACTGTACGGAGGAATCGGAGGTTTCGGAAAAGGTAAATGCAAATACAATCATGCCGAGAATATTATTGACCCTCACATATACCTAATACTTTGACAGATTATAAGTAAGCTAATTACACCAAACTTATTTTGCACCTTCATTGGACACATGCAGCATAACTAACCTATCGATATATTGAATATAGAAATTATTACGAGACGTAGAAATGACTTTGTACGGAAAATATTCTTAAACAAAAACCTCTTCTTTTTGTTGCAGGTATTGGATATGGCTACTACTAAGGTTGTCGCTCCAGTGTCACAATTCATCTGCATCATCAATATGTACATTATTTATTGTATCCGGTTTGAAATATGTCACATAAAACACAATCATTGAAACAATGTCTTACGTTTTTTATTCATAGTAGTGTTGGGGCTATGTTACAAAAGGAAAAAAATGTTATTAAGAGAGTTGTATCGGAACAGTGAGATATAAATCATCAAAATGAAAGAGAAACGCGTATACTAGTTTACTGGCATGATCGAATGAGTGGGTGAATGAGAGAGTGTTGTTTAACGCTACAGTCAGCCTTTGTCAAATTACACCATGGCAGAGGCACAAAACCATGCGGCACGGTGACGCACAATCAGTCAGGTCACACACAATAAACATCTGGTCGCCTTCATAAGTCAGCTCTTACGACAAGCATGTGGCACCGAGCACCTGTTATTGACAGAAATAGCGAAGGATTCTAAAAAAGTGTCATTCATTCGCACGTGAAAGTTGTTTGTATGCAATATGGAGGTTCAGATATGTATATTCCTCAATGACATTGATCAACTTTACAGTGTTGACTTTCGTCCCTGCAGCCCGGATCCGTGAGCATCCGGTTTAGAATATAGGTCTTCAGCAACCCATGCTTGCTGTAAGAGGCGACTAACGGGATCGGGTGGTCAGGCTTGCTGACTTGGTTGATGCATGTTATTGTATCCCGATTGCATAGATCGATGCTCATAGTGTCAATCACTGGATTGTCTGGTCCAGACTGGAATATTTACAGACCGCCGTAATTTAGCTGAAATATTGTCGAGTGCGGCGTTAAACAAACACACAAAGAAACAAACAAACAAAGCGACAAGCACGTAGTCTGGAAAACAACAAGAACAGAAGTTGGCAATTAATGTTCCATAACAAAGTCACATATTCATATATAATAGCCACCTGATCGTGTGCCTTCGGTAACACACAAACAAATGTTTACCATTAGTCTTCTGTAGTATCCAACACTCTCTGTCCATGATGAAATTTACAAAAATGCAAATGTCGGCATTCTTTATACGTGAGAAGCACCTAAACCTATATGCCATCTGTAAAAGTAAGGATTATTATTAAGCTTTCTTGGGAAAGTAGTAAACGACTCGACAGGTTTTTGGTAATGGCAAGAATGGACAGTCACAAGGTTTGAAATGTGCCCCCATACAGTCGTACCATTCCGTGGCTGCATAGTCAAGCCATTCCGTAGCTTTAGTTACCATCCTACATTTATCCCTTTCCCGTATGCTCTTTACATACAACTGGACCGCCTCCGTGGTCTAATGGTAGAGCGTCCGCCCGGAGAGCGGAAGGTCCGGGGTTCGATCCCCAGCCGCGTCATACCAAAAGACGTTAAAAGATGATACTTGTTGTTACCCTGTCTGGCGCTCGGCATTAAGGGGCTAAAACAAGGACTGGTCGGCTCGGAGTCAATATACTCCGTCTGAGTCGGGTATTCATGTTAAACTGCGGCATGGTATCTCAGTGGGCTAGCACTATAAATCGGCATCAGTCCGGACTAGTACAAGCAGCCACACACACACATACACGTGCATGCACGTCGCTATATAAGTGCAATAATCTTGGACGCGACGTTAAACCCCATATCACCTCACCTCACCTTACATACAACTCCTTGATTAGCCATACTCCCCACTGCACATTCCTCTTTTTCAGTATTAATGATATAGGAAGACCCTTTCAGAGCTCCGATGTTGTTACATTGTAATCAATGATATATTTCTTTCTATGAAATGCAGGTTCCATTTGTAGATCACACTACATATGAAATACATTGAGATCTGTTCTTTAACAGGAACTGTTTCAACAGGTTTTTTAACCGTGTTACTAGAGGCGTGCGTGAAGAGTCACTGCTGAAATGTGAACATTAAATCTGCACTGACTTTTCTTCATGACCGTAACATGGAGCATCATTACATTAAATATAATTATCATTTGCAGTTATCATCCAGATAGTGAAGTATAAATAAATGAAGTGATAGGAAATATATAGGGCTTGCATGCCTTAATCAAATTATGAGTAGAATGTGCGTTTGTCAATATTGTTCTTAATAAAAGTATACCATGGGCTATGCAAAAGAATATGGTGACACCTTGTCGTTCAAGAGTTTCAAGAATGTTTTAGCAGAGGGCGTACATATATACAGAGAGAGAGATAGAGAGAGAGAGAGAGAGAGAGAGAGAAAGAAGAGAGAGAGAGAGAGAGAGAGAGAGAGAGAGAGAGAGAGAGATAGAGAGAGAGAGAGAGAGAATAAGTCTGTGTTTTGAATTAAGTAATTTATGATTAGGAGCAGATACGATGTAAGTCAGCGAATCCTTATTTAAATGTCAGAGGTGAGACGAATATCAAATATAAGGATCCACAGCGCAGCAACAACGACCCATCCCAAACCGATGCCTAGAAATGGGGAAAGTTATAAGCTTTTAGGAAAGCCATGTATATTATACATACACATGTCGAAAAAGAATGGTGGTAAAATGGATCGAAGCACCATGTTCGGAAGGTAACCTGCTCTCCATGTATGTTTGGGAAGACTTTCCTTTAAGAGATATTACTTTATAGAGTAACCATCTAGGAGGTGAAATGAATTACACACTGTCTTTTATTATTACAATTATAACAATACCCGTTACTGGGTCATTGTGATAGAATTTTTTTTTTTCACAGACCACATAGGAAAAGACTGGCTATGCTCATCTGTATCGGTATTTATACACGAATCTACGCATATCGACGCAATTTCATCACGGGTCATTTGTCAGTGATGTAATTACTTCCCTAATCATTCTCCCGCACCTACACACATACATTGCATTGGACATAGTCCCTGGGGGCATAGGGAAACGGAATTCTGTTAGCAATGATTCTTAAAAGGTGTTGCAAATTGGTGCTGAATTAGATAATATACTTGTAATTAGTCAGTTCCGGGTGTGGACCGAATACAGGTGTATATAAGCGTCTTGTTTTCAAGCACTAGCTATCACTGCTGTCGCCTCTCTTCACGTTTAGATCCAGTCTAATCAACACACTCTGTGAGTATCAGTTGTTTTGTGTTTTACGGGGTATTCAGCCTGTCCCTGTTAACGCTATATTTTACGTTGCCGTTTTATGAGTGTTAGTCAGTAGTTGTTGCTGTAATGCTATTTCAAACTTTTACTGATTACTATTTGTAATATTGATTGAATCCTCCAAATGTGTTTTTAGTTTTCAAATCAGATAAAGTTCTACTTAAAGCAACAAAATAAAAAAGTGTAGAATAGCGACCACAAGTTGGTACAGAAACGGATTTTCTTACAGACTTGAATAATGAATGAAAAACTCCTTTTCAGCCTTCCAAAATGATGAAAGTTATCGCCCTTGTTGCCTGTCTGGCTGTCGCTGCCTTTGCTGAGCCTGTGAGCTATGGTCTGCACGGAGGCTTCGGAAAGGGTGGTCTGTACGGAGGCTACGGAATGGGTGGTCTGTACGGAGGCTTCGGAATGGGAGGTCTGTACGGAGGTTACGGTTTGGGAGGACTGTACGGAGGCTACGGAATGGGTGGTCTATACGGAGGCTACGGAATGGGTGGTCTATACGGAGGCCACGGACTAGGAGGACTGTACGGAGGAATCGGAGGTTTCGGAAAAGGTAAATGCAAATACAATCATGCCGAGAATATTATTGACCCTCACATATACCTAATACTTTGACAGATTATAAGTAAGCTAATTACACCAAACTTATTTTCCACCTTCATTGGACACATGCAGCATAACTAACCTATCGATATATTGAATATAGAAATTATTACGAGACGTAGAAATGACTTTGTACGGAAAATATTCTTAAACAAAAACCTCTTCTTTTTGTTGCAGGTATTGGATATGGCTACTACTAAGGTTGTCGCTCCAGTGTCACAATTCATCTGCATCATCAATATGTACATTATTTATTGTATCCGGTTTGAAATATGTCACATTAAACACAATCATTGAAACAATGTCTTACGTTTTTTATTCATAGTAGTGTTGGGGCTAGGTTACAAAAGGAAAAAAATGTTATTAAGAGAGTTGTATCGGAACAGTGAGATATAAATCATCAAAATGAAAGAGAAACGCGTATACTAGTTTGCTGGCATGAGCGAATGAGTGGGTGAATGAGAGAGTGTTGTTTAACGCTACAGTCAGCCTTTGTCAAATTACACCATGGCAGAGGCACAAAACCATGCGGCACGGTGACGCACAATCAGTCAGGTCACACACAATAAACATCTGGTCGCCTTCATAAGTCAGCTCTTACGACAAGCATGTGGCACCGAGTACCTGTTATTGACAGAAATAGCGTAGGATTCTAAAAAAGTGTCATTCATTCGCACGTGAAAGTTGTTTGTATGCAATATGGTGGTTCAGATATGTATATTCCTCAATGACATTGATCAACTTTACAGTGTTGACTCTCGTCCCTGCAGCCCGGATCCGTGAGCATCCGGTTTAGAATATAGGTCTTCAGCAACCCATGCTTGCTGTAAGAGGCGACTAACGGGATCGGGTGGTCAGGCTTGCTGACTTGGTTGATGCATGTTATTGTATCCCGATTGCGTAGATCGATGCTCATAGTGTCATCACTGGATTGTCTGGTCCAGACTGGAATATTTACAGACCGCCGTAATTTAGCTGAAATATTGTCGAGTGCGGCGTTAAACAAACAAACAAACAAACAAACAAACAAAGCGACAAGCACGTAGTCTGGAAAACAACAAGAACAGAAGTTGGCAATTAATGTTCCATAACAAGGTCACATATTCATATATAATAGCCACCTGATCGTGTGCCTTCGGTAACACACAAACAAATGTTTACCATTAGTCTTCTGTAGTATCTAACACTCTCTGTCGATGATGAAATTTACAAAAATGCAAATGTCGGCATTCTTTATACGTGAGAAGCACCTAAACCTATATGCCATCTGTAAAAGTAAGGATTATTATTAAGCTTTCTTGGGAAAGTAGTAAACGACTCGACAGGTTTTTGGTAATGGCAAGAATGGACAGTCACAAGGTTTGAAATGTGCCCCCATACAGTCGTA